AATAATTGAAGAGGGGATTATTAATTATTCTGCAGATTTATAGCTAATGAGGGCCTAATTGGATCTAATTCAATTTTAATTGAATATAGGGAACCTATAATGTGCAGTCATTATTACTGACCTAAAAGGGAATCTGGGAGTAAGAGGATTGCTGATTTGGGGTCATCTAGGAGGATTTACTTTTCTGTCTGTCCAAAGTCTTAAGAAGGGGCTGGGGTTGTGGCTCAGTGGTGGAGCGCTTGGGTTTAATTCTCAGCACCACAAAAACATAAATAAATAAAGGTAGTATGTCCATCTACAACTATAAAAAATGTAAAACAACAACAACAACAAAAAACCCAAACATCTTAAGAAGTGCTAAACTGCAGGACAGGTGATTGTTCAGGTGGTACTCAGGACCTGTTGGCTAACACATTCACCTTCCCTCCTTTCCCTTTAAAATAACTAGTCTCTGGAATATCTAACTCTTAAGGAGAAACGAAGTCTCCAGAGTCATCACAAAAATGGAGTCAGAACTTAGGTTGGTAAGTATAAGCCAATGCTATGGCTACCTGATAGATGTGTGCTAGTGTTATTCAACAAGGGCATTGTGTTTTAAAAGCCACATAGAGTCAGGAAACAAGGCATACACTTCAATACAAAGAGGAATTAGAATCAAGACTCCCATACAATGTAGAGGATCATACTAAAAAAGTAGATTTACAAAAAAATCTATCTGTACAGAGAGATAACAAGGAAGTTTGAGCCTAAATTGGCACTGTTTTGAACAGTTCAGGAAACCTCAAGTACTATATAGAAATCAACATAAAAATGATTCCAGACTGATAATGTTCTTGATATACCTAGCCAAAGTGAAAGGAAAACTATGCAGGAGAAATATATCTTCAACCTAGGCCTCTTGGGTCCCATAAATAAAACTCTGCTTAAAATGACTTATGGTTCAAACTAATAGAACATGTGGAAATGATTCGTTGTGAGCTAATGTTAGCAGATACAATAGTAGTATCACACCTCCAAGTACTTTAGATTATAGAGGTACTTAACTTCTGTAGGTACTCCTGTAATTTCTAAAGAAAAATTATGGGCTTTGAAAGATGATGAAGGAGTTGAAAACACAAAAAAAGACAGTATTAAAAATATCAGGCAAATCTGAATAAGAAGCAAATAGAACTTATAGGTATATTATGTAACTATTTTAAATTAAAATTTAATTAAATGTAAATTAGATACAGCTGGAGAGAGTTTAACTGCATTGGAATACTGATCTGAAAAAATTATACAGAAGGCAGCAAATAGAGAAAACAGATAGGTGATATAAAAGAAAGGTTAAGAAGCCCGAAGAACAGAAGAATGTCCAACATATATCTCATAAGAGGTTCTAGAAGGAGAGATAAGAGGAAATGAAAGAGTGGCAATACTTAAAGAAATGTGACTGGAAAACTTCCAAAAATATGCCAAACACAAATTTTCATATCAAGTAACATAAATAAAAATATATAAACATTTAGATACAGAATATTAAAGCCAAAACATTAAAGACTAATATTAAAAATGAATCATAGATGATTATCTACAAAAGGAAAATAGTGATATTGAGAGCAAACTTTTTAATGGCAACAGTTAATAGTCCATTTTCATCTTGATTTAAAGTGCTGAGAGAAAATTATCAACCTAGAATTCTAAACTTAGCTAAACTAAGACATTTTTTAGACAAAAATACCAGGTTGACCAGTAGCTGAAAGAATTACTACAGGATATTCTTTAGTAAGAAGAAAACTGAAAGAAAGACACAGGATGAAACAAACAAAACAGAGGAAAATGGGTGGCAAATCTATTTGTGAGAAAAGTTTGAGACAGATTAATTTAACCTCTATGGCGGTTGAGGATGTAACTCAGTGGTAGAGTGCTTGCCTAGGTTGCTCCACAGCACAGGAGGGAAAAATTTGGTGTCTATTTCTCTATTTCTTTATTCAACAAGTAAACAAGTATCTTTTTTTGGAGGGAGGGTACTGAGGATTAAACCCAGGGGTGCCACTGAGCTAAATCCCTAACCCCACCCCCTGACCTTTTTAATTTTTTTTGTTTTGAGACAGGATCTTACTAAGTTGTTTGTTAGGCTGCTGAAACTGGCCTCAAACGTGCAATTCTTTTGCTTCAGCCTCCCAAGTTGCTGGGATTACAGTGTGCGTCACCATGCCTGGCCACAAATATATTTTAAGGACAAATAAAAGTAATCTATGGTGACAGAGGTCTTAATATTGATTACTTTGTGGGGAGTTAAGACATGGAGTGGGCAAAAGAGGTGATTTTGAGGGTGCTGGCAGTGGCTATATTGAATTATTTATTTTGTGATATTTTATTGAGATGTCTTATCATTTATATATTTTTCTATATTTAATACATGTATGTGGTATCACATTAAGACATCTGGCTTTGTCCCTCATTCTTGATACATAGCTCCTAAAACCCTTGAAATTTGCTGAGGGGTGATAAGAGTGTCTTTTATACCAATGAGGCTATTCTTTAAGGATGCCTACATATTTCAGGATAGGAGACTGGTCACTAGAAAGACCACGTCTTGATCTAAAGCTCAGAACTTTCAACCCACCCTTTAACCTTTAGGGAGGAGAAAATGACTAGAGATTGAGTTAATCCCAGATGGCCAATAGTTTAATCAATCATAATTTAATCCATTGACACAAATAATGAAACCTGTTTAAATTCCCCTAAATGATAAGGTTGGAAGATCTTCCAGCCTGGTGGGGTACTGGGAGGGTGGTGTGCTTGGAGCAGACCTGTACTTTGCCCTATGCATCTCTTCCATTTGGCTATTTTTTGAGTTGTGTCCTTTCTAATAAATTGGCAATGCAAGTAAAGCAAGTAAAGTTCTGTGAGCTCTTCTAATAAATTCTCAAACTTGGAGAAGTGGTCATGAGAATCCTGAATTTATAGGTGGTTAGACAGAGTATGGGTGGTCTGGGACTTGTGACTGGCATTTGAAGGACCGACAGTCTTGTGGAAATGAGTCTCTTTAATTCGTGAGATCTGATGCTAACTCCAGTTAGTGTTAGAATTGAATTGTTCAGCATCCAGTTGGTATCGAGAGAACTGGAGAAGTAGTATTAGAGAAGATGCCAGGTATTTGATAGTCAGGAGCACTATCTTGAGACAAGATCTTCAGTTTGTCTTTGTAGTCTTCTTACTAAATACTTATTAAACAATGTACTTAATGACAAAAATACAATAATAGTTCAATAAAATAGTTCTTTCAAAGTTTTAAAAGAAAACTCTACAGAACAGTTTAAACCAAAATAAAATTCTGATAGATTATGAAGATATAAGTTTAAATATGAGTTCTAAAAACAATGGAAAAATGGATGTTAGTATAGTTAGTATAATCTTGATTAAGAAAGAACTTTCCAAGCATAATACCAAAGGCAGAAATTGCTGGTAGTTTTGAGTAAATAAAATGAACATAATAACAAGAAAACTTTCATATTGCAAAACACTGAATAAAATAAAAACATCAAATAGAAGAAAAATATTTGTAAAATACAATGTGAATGGACAAAATTTTTAATTATATATACAGAATTTTTGAAAAATTATTCATAAAAATTAAAAAATACCTGGCAATGGGTAGAGAACATGAATGGGTAATTCACCCAAAAAATATACAAATGGTCAATGAGCTCTGGACACTGACAAAGATGTTAGGTAATTTACCTGAGTGAGGGGAAAAAAAAAAAAAAAATATATATATATATATATAAGACACTAAAGGTGTTTCCATCAAACTGTGAAATGAAACTTATAAGGCAGACTGTACAAGGAGAACTATTTCTGCCCATACACTCAACACAAATGGCTATATAGGCTTAGAAGAAGTCTGAAAAGATCAAAATGTAACAGTGGTTAGATTTTGGTAGCTTTTATTTTCTATATGCTTCCTGAATTAAAAAACAAACAAATTTCAGAATAAGCATATATTATATCATAATAAAGGTGAAAGTTGTATTTTTTTTAAACCAAACAATAACACACAAAGAAAAATACACAAATATCTTTAATGATTCCCAGTTATCCATGCATTGCTCTCTCAGGGCCCCCAGTCACTAAATTCAATCATCTTGCCACAATTCTCCTGCTTCTCTTTCCTCTACCCTTTGCTGACAAATGAAGCTTCCTAAAGTACTGTGACCCTTTTAAAATTTCATTGCTTAAAAACCTTCAATATTTTCTACATAAAAAAGTACAAATTCCTTACTTAGCCTAGCATCTAAGCCCTTCCATAATTATAACAATCTTTTTATTTTAACATCCTTCCAGATAGTTGACTACTTGCTGTTCTTTGAGTATGTTTGTTGTCTACAGCTTTCACAAATTGTCCCTGTGGTTAACTCTACCTAGAATATACTGTTTGCATATGCCAGTTTTCTGCCTAAGGCATAGTTTTCATACTGTCTTCTCCATGAAACGTTTGCTGATTTCCTATAGCCATTTCCTATAGCCATTCTCTTAAGAATCCATGAGTCTTTTCTCTGTCTCTCCAGGCACTTATTTTCTTACTTTTTTGTTCTGTCTTTCTTAATAGACAATGACTAACTTGAGACAAGATTGTCAGTTTGTCTTTGTAGTCTTCTTACTAAATACTTATTAAACAATGTACTTAATGACAAAATAGAAAAACTGTCAATTCAATGCCATTATGCTTAGCTATTTTTAAAATGCCAGCCTATGAACACAGAACACACAAATTGTTGACAGCATAGGATGGTTCTCCAGGTCTTTGACCTAATAAAGTGACTGATGAACTTAAGGGACTATAGAACCTTCATCTCACAAATGATCAATTATTCTATGAACTGATGCTGCATACACAGAGCATTTGGTTAATAGGAGTTTGGTCATCACTGACCAATCTCTCCAACCTACAGGGAATTTAAGCTTTATTCTCTGGGAAAAGGGAGAGAGCCGCAGGGATGGTTGTTGTCTTTTACCTTTTTGTGTTGTGCACCGTGGTTCCTCCCAGGACGATCCTCACTCCAGGAGTGGTCCGGTTCAGGTTGTAAACTGTTAGAGCCTCCTCATAGGTGGCTCCTCCAATTACAAATACAATGATATCTTGAGGTCTGAGAAAATGAAGACAGAGATAATGTCACAGGATAAGAAAAAACTAGGGCAAAGATTTGTTGTTGTTATTACATAGAGTTTTAATTTCTTAATCTTTCTTTTTTGGTGGAGGAAGCAGAATTAAAGTAGAATAGAATAAAAGGTTTAAAAAAAGTTTTAATTATCTGAAATTGGCAGGAAACAGAGCAGGAAATGCTGAATAGTGATTTGCTTTCTGTGTATGAGCGGATGTCTTATAATTTCTGTGCTGTGGATTTCAGAATAGCACAATAGTTTTTGCTGGAACCAAATGCAGAAATAATCTTTCATAATCAAGAGGCTGCAGAATACCATACTGTGACATGATATCAGCACTAATTTGGACTTGTATCATGAATCTTCTTTCATGTATACCCTGTGTCAAATAGTTGGTACAGTGTTATTTCAATGGCTCCTGTCCAAGGACCTCAAAGCATTTCGGAAAGTAATGGTATATTTGGATATCCATAACACTCAAACTAGAAACATTTAGTATTTTGAGTACATAAAAAGAATGTAACACATAAATTAATAGCACTTCCAAGAACTCTACCTCTTCTTAAATTTTTTGTTTTGGAATCCTTTGATAAAGCAAGAAAAAGAAACCATGGAAACAATAACAACAACAAAAAGTGGGTGTAATTTTGATACTGGACATGTTGACATATCACATATCAGCTCAGCCACTAGCTTAATTTGGGGACACTAGGTTGTTTTACTGTGTTTCAATCTATTAAAGTGGCTTCATAACAAATGAATGATTCTCCTATGAGCTTCTTTTGCAGATATCAACAAACTCATATTATTACTATTTAAAAAAAAGTTTTTTTTTTTTTTTTTTTTAATTGTTGATGGATTTTTTGGGGAAGGAGGGCACTGGGGATTGAACTCAAGGGCACTTGACCACTGAGCCACATCCTTAGCCCTATTTTGTATTTATTTAGAGACAGGGTCTCACTGAATTGCCTTGCACCTCACTGCTGCTAGATTGGCTTTGAACTCATGATACTCCTGTCTCAGACTCCTAAGCCACTGTGATTACAGGTATGGGCCACCAAACCCAGCCAATGGATCTTTATTTCATTTATTTATTTATATGCAGGGCTGAGAATTGAACTCAGTGCCTCACACATGCCATGCTCTACCACTGAGCCACAACTCCAGTCCCTCATATTATTATATTCTAATTCTTTAAGTTTTTCTTTTGTAGATTTTTTTTTCATTTATTTATATGTGGTGCTAAGAATGGAACCCAGTGCCTCACACAGACTAGGCAAGTGTTTTATCCCACTGAGCTATAACCCTAGCCCCTTACGTTGTTTTCTTTAAATATTTTTTAATTACACATGGACATATCTTTATTTTGTTTATTTATTTTTATGTGGTGTTGAGGATGGAACTCAGTGCCTCACATGTACGAGGCAAGCGCTCTGGGCTCCAACCCCAGCCCCCTCATGTTATTTTTTAAAGCTATTATTTGTCTTGTTTTCTTTTTCTTGTGCCATCAGAAAGATAAAATTACTTTATCTTAGAAGGAAAGCAATTTTATTAAATTACTCATTGGACACTATTTAAAACTACATCAAGCAGAAGCACTCATTTTGGAGGTTATGACATAATACTCAACCAGAAACATCTTTAATTAAGAGATACACATGGTTATGTATAAATCTCAAATAAAACTCCAACTCTACATTTCCTTTCTGTTTGTCTCTCTCTTTCAAAGACACCTGGAAGGAATTAATTAATTAATGTAGAGGGTATTTGTTTTAGTGGAACTTCACAGAACAGAATCAGGTACTGTAGCTATTTAAGGATGTTCAAATAGTCTTCACATTGCAGAAATTTCCCAATTATGAAGAAATGCAATCAACAAGGTAGAGTCAATTATTACATTTCTATATGGATGGGACTTAAAATCATGAGACACAAAAGAACTGAATTGTAATCCTCTTGTCTCAGTCTCCAAAGTATCGGGAATTATAAATGTGTGTCACTGTACCCAACTTCTAAATTTGCATTTTTTTTTGTACTGAGTATTGAACTCAGGGGTCCTTTACCATTGACCTATATCCTAGCCCATTTATTTTTTTATTTTGAGACAGGGTCTTGCTAAATTGCTTAAGGCCTCACTAACTTGCTGAGACTGGCCTCAAATTTGCAATCTTCTGCTTCAGCCTCCTGAGTTACTGGGATTACAGGTACCTGGCACTGACAGGACTAAGTTTACTGTTTAAGACAAAATAAACATCATTCAAGACTACCCACCTGAAACAACAGACTAGCACCACATCACTTAAAAAGTTAGACTGCTGTGTATTTATCTAAAATCATGTTTTTAAAAAAAATAATTGATTTTGAAAGGATAAATGCATGCACATAGTATAAAATACAAAAGGCTACACTGAAAAAATGGTCCTTTCTCATTTCAGTTATTTTCTTTAAATATTTTTTCTGTTGGTATTAGGGATTGAACCTAGGGGTGCTCTCCCACTGAGCTACAACCTCAGCCCTTTTTATTTATTTATTTTAATTTTGAGATAGGGTCTTCCTAAGTTGCCCAGAGTGGCCTTGAATTTGTGACCTTCCTGCCTTAGTCTCCTGAGTAGCTGGGATTCCAGGCCTGGGCCATCATGCCCAGCTGTCAGCAACTTTTGGTTAAGTTGATCACTGTTCCTCCTGGACATAGTTTCTTGACTTGGTTTCCAGGATACACATTCTTTGTTTTCTCCCTACTCGGTTGGCTGTTACTTTTCAGTGTCTCTTGATGACTCTATTTCATCTCCCTAACCTCTTAATGATACAGTGCCCAGAGTCCAGTCATTGGTTCTTCTTCCTTGCTAACCTAACATACTCCCTAGATCTGCTCTAATAGTGTGTCTACTTGCTACATATGGTTATTCAAATTTAACTTAATTAAAACAAAATAAAATAAAAATGTTCAGCTCCTCAGTACCTTTAGACACATTTCAAGTGTTCAATAGCCACATGTAGCTAGAGGCTACCTGCTAGGGTTTAGATATTATTTGAGGGTGTCCCCTAAGGGTTCATATCCTGAAATTTAATTCCCTTGGTGAGGGGGCTATGGCATTTAGAAGCAGGACCTCTGGGAGCTGATTAGAGTTAGATAAACTTATCAGGGTGGACTCCCATGACTGAATACTGGCGGCTAAGTAAGAAGAAAGAAGAGAGACCAGAGAATACAGACAATATATTCTCAGAAAAGGAGTATTTTATTTATTTATTTTTTGGTACTGGGGATTGAACCCAGGGGCACTTAACCTCTAAGCCATATCCCCAGCCCTTTTTGATATTTTACTTAGAGACAGGGTCTCATTGAGTTGCTTACAGTCTTGCTAAGTTGCTGAGGCTAAACTTAAATTCACAATTCTCCTGCCTCAGCCTCGAGTCTTTGGGATTACCACCACACCTGGAGGAGTTTTTTTTTTTTTTGGTGGTGGTGCTGGGGATTGAACCCAGGGCCTTGTGCATTCGAGGCAAGCACTCTACCAATTGAGTGATTTGTAACAGTAAGATTCCATGTGCAATGTTCGCTGTGGTGAGGGACAACACTACTGAGGTCCATCATACGGGTTTATTTGAACACTGATGAATTACACAGATTATTGGGCTGGGGCTGGGGCTGGGACTCATGGGTAGAGCGCTTGCCTGGCGCATGTGAGGCCCTGGGTTCAATCCTCAGCACCATATAAAATAAATAAATAAATAAATAAATAAAGGTACTGACAACTACAACTAATCTACCTCAATCTACCTCAAGAATACAGCTGTCTGTTATGGAAAAGAAAAATGAGAACTGGGAGAGAATAACTCAAGCAGACTTCTAGAATGTTGTCCTTTAGTTGATAATTGCAGGGAGCCAGGGTATTTTTAAAGAGGGAAGAAAATGTCATGGATAGTTATCTGTGGGTGCAGGTTATACAGATGTGTGGACAAAACATAAATACTAGGATAGGGACTGAGTGCTAGGCTCAACTGCGTACCTAACAAAGGTGCCCTCGCTGCATCTGATCATGGAAACACAAAAGCACGTTTCCAGAGCCTCCTCTACGTATTCAATGTGGTCTACAGAAGAGTATCTATGAAAAAGAGTTTTTAATCTCTCTGATGTTTTTCCTTTCCATGGGAATTTTAAAAACAGATGTTCTGATGAAGCCAAAACAGCAAAATGTTTTATATGATGGTCAAAGTTAAGTGGAAAATACAAGTTCAATTCTTTGTGTACATCTTCTTGTGCTCTTTAATTCACCATAGCAACCAAAGGCATTAATTAACGCATACAACAAACATTGGAAAACAGCAGCCAGTTTATACTGTAGCCAGCTATACAAGGACATCCTAAGAACTCAATTTGTATCTTACTTTGTTAGAAAAATTTAAAAATTTTCATGTACAGTATTTCTGCAAATAATTATTTCTGTATGTGAATAAGTTAGACAGAAAAACAAACTTCAAAAGGCAATATTTTGTCTAATTTGTGAACCTTTACATTTATGTCTAAAATTCAAATTTTTAAAATACTTGCAGATGGTAAAATTCTTATGAGCATTTACTGCAGGAAAAAAAAAGCCAGTAAAAAGGACTTCTGCCTTTATAGAAACAAAAGCAAGCGGCTGTGATAAGAGTCTGCTAAAATCATAAAACACGGAGGCATCTCCTTGAACTCTTTGACTCTGGAATGCATGATCACACAGCTCCGTTTCCCACCAAGTGAAGAGGGCACTTATTATTGTTTTTTAAATCAGGGAAAGAAGCAATTCTGGAGAGAAAAAAATTAGCCTAATAATATTACATGTGGGAATCCCATCTGTAGGATAAAGATCAAACCCAATTTATGGATGTGACTATGCTGCCAAACAGGTTAACCACTAATTTAATAGCTAAGGGCTAGGAAATTTCTACAAGTGTTCTGGCTTTATAAAGTTATATTCCTGCTACATCTCCTCTGACACTTTCTAAT